AACAAATACACCCTCACACACACACACACATGTACATGTACATACATCAGATACAATGAGTCATCATTATTATATATACTTATACTTAAATGATATAATCATTCACACTTTCAATACATGTGTGATGTTAGTACTGAGTCAGTGAATGAGCTCATTATTCATACACAATATAAAGTACATGATATATTATTATTACATTAAGAGCATATTATACACATTTTCTGATATATATTGATGTACTTATGCTGTCTAGAAAGTTTGAGCTGATTCCAACTTCAACTTTTCGAGTTACGACCATTTTTAAAAACGGCCAATTTTTGAAAAATACCCAAGGCTATAGCCCATGGTTTTTTCTGAAAAATGGCTCCGAAATCACCCCAAATTTTTATTACATTTTCTGATACATATTGATGTCCTTATACTGTGTAGAAAGTTTGAGCTGATTCTGACTCCAATTTTTCAAGTTACAGCCATTTTTTAAAAACGGCCAATTTTTGAAAAATACCTCAGGCTATAGCCCATGGTTTTTTTTCCAAAAAATGGCTCCGAAATCACCCCAAATTTTTATTACATTTTCTGATACATATTGATGAACTTATGCTGTGTAGAAAGTTTGAGCTGATTCTGACTCCAATTTTTCAAGTTACAGCCATTTTTTAAAAACGGCCAATTTTTAAAAAAAGCTAAGGCTATAGCCCATGGTTTTTTTCTGAAAAATGGCTCTGAAATCACTCCAAATTTTTATTACATTTTCTGATACATATTGATGTCCTAATGATGTGTGTCTAAGTACTGGAGTAGTTCATGTACTGTAGTGTTGGGTGTAGTAATGAGAATCTGATACCTTTTGATGTGTAGAACTGAGAGACACAAACTGAACTCATACCAATGTACACACACACTAAATCATGACACTCATTAACACTATACACTACAATACAGTAGCCTATTACATATAATTTATACTGTGTGTATGGACATAGGCGGCTGCAGGGTCGGGCATAGTCGGGCAATGCCCGACCAAGAATTTTGACCGGAAATGAAAATTTAATTGACGACATCATTTTTAGTCATGAAAAATTACAATGGCCAGCAAGAGACTATCTTTTTTGCTTTCCTTTGTCAACAAGCCTTCCAGGAGGACCAGGACTAGCACTTTATAGGTTGGATAGAGCTTTACATATTAGGGGCGTATTAGGCGTATTTTTATGGTATATCATAATGTATGCGTACGTTAAGTATACGCCCAAAATACGCGTGGAAAAGTGGGCGTGGCCAAAACTGCGGCGCACTTCGCGCGCCATTTTTCTTGCCCGACTGCTCTGCCAGTCCTGCCACCGCCTATGTGTGTATAGTGTATATCATGATTATTACATTTTCTGATACATATTGATGTACTTATGCTGTCTAGAAAGTTTGAGCTGATCCTCTGCCTATCCTCTTCAAAAAGGTCACATGAATAATAATAATAATAATAATAATAATAATAATAATAATAATATTACTTTAGTTTTTATTTATATAAATTTAATCCTAACAAGTATTAAATTAATTAAGTTCATTAATTATGTGATATTGTTCTCCGCCCACTCACCTACTAATTGTAGTTGAGTTGACAATCAAATTTCATAAGAGGTGGGCACTAAATGGAGAGCAGAGAGGGGATTGATTTCACTTCTTCACTGCAGTCCACAACAGTCCTATATCTATGAGTGGACTCTGCATTCCATTGAGACTGTAGATACAATACCAAAGAGAAACGGAAGCCGTATACTATAACCACGTGCCCACACATGGTAAAAATGGCTACCATCCCCTTGACCTATACAAATACTCTTGCTAATATTGCAGCAGTTTATTAAAAGATTATGATATCAAGGAATCAAGGAGATAGTAAGTACCTCACACTATTATTAGTAACACAATTACTTGTACTATTAATAGCAACAGTAATAGTAGTTTTCTTTTGCTAAATAGACGTACTTGTAAGTTGTAACATATACGCATGAGCATCAAAAGTATAATACTTTGTAAATTTATTTCATTTTGCTATTTTATCATTAATCTGCCAATCGCCAAATTAAAATTCTACCAAATTCTACCCACGTAGAACAAAAATTTTGTCAAGCAAAAATATAAATTTGACAAAAACTTTGACCAACAAAAGTTTGGAGCTATATGGTATAATTTTTAAGATCCTTAATTTAAAAAAATAGCTTATAAGTCATGACGCTAGCAATTTAAATGTGTTATTGGCCTACATGTAGCCTCAAAAATTTGTCA